ATCCATCCATCCATCCATCCATCCATCCATCCATCCATCCATCCATCCATCCATCCATCCATCCATCCATCCACGGATGTTTAAGCTTGAAAAGCTTTTTCTCTAAAAATTTTTTTGTGATTTCTACTGTTAAGCATTTCCAATATTTTTCTATTCACAATGTCATTTGATTTCCAAACCAGCAGGCAACTGTGTTTAATCATATACTCTTTGCTTTATATTTCCCTTCTAAGCCGCAGACTTTCTTGTTATCTGTCATGGATCTTTGGGTGATTTTAGAAATGTTTTTCTTGACGGGGGGGATGTCGCCGCGGGAGACGTGTCTGACAGTGTTTATGCTTCTAAGATGTAAGACTAAAGATGATGATTTTTATAACTAAACATTTACGGAAAGACCTGGGATATCGGTGGCAGTACCAACGGAGGACAATCCCGCTATCATTTGTTATGTGTGCAATATTTTTTCTAATAATATGAATTAAGGAATGGACATTACTTTTTATCTGAGAGTAGTAGCATACTTATCTATTTATTCTGATGTCTTTATTGTATCTTTCCCTGTATAACTATGTCTAGATGTATAGATACACATATAAAACATCGAACTCTCCTTCCTGTCTCTAAAATTCCTGAACTTTAGTCGTATAGGTTTTTATTTCACCCGGCCAGAATTATCAGTGGCGCTTATCTCTATTTTAGGGGGAACCCACTGGGTTCTTTTGGAATACTTTCTTTTTTGTGTCAGTATTTCCACTATAGCTAATTTTTGCACTTGTTCTGCAGGTCTTTAATAGTTGATTATGTTTTCAAGTTTTTAGACCTGCATCCCTACATCATAGCATTAAATCGGTGTCCTCTTCTCCGTGTATTTCCTCTTACTCTCTTCATAATTCAGTCAGTGTGTCAGCTCACTGAGCTCTTCCCTCTCCTCGTTTTCACACAGCAGCATGACTGACATCCTGCTGGCTGCAAACATCATCTTTAATGATTTAAACGTAGGTAAATGTTTATTACAGGATCATACTGCTTTCTGTCAGACAAAGGTTCTTCAGGTAAGGCTGACAACTTTTATATTACACAGATCAGAGATCAGCAAATGCAACCACCTGAGAATATCAGGCTATAAATTACAAAACTGAGCACATTTTTGAGAATTTAAACCTCCAGGAAGAATCATAGATCTTTTACCCCTTCTACAAGTAAGTTCAGAATATTTAACTTTAGTTCAGCTCAGTCACAAGTCAGTAAAACCCCTTCGATCAGAGATAATCAGGAGTTAAACCAGCCTCCAAACTGGCTCTCAGTCTGATACATCACGCGAGTCGTTATTAATTTCTCCTGGGCTTCAGTGAGATGATCTTAAACGCGATTAAAGCAGAAACAGCTCTGATCCTGAGCTCGAGGAGGTACTTTCTTTAGTAGGTGTGGGGTCAAGTCGGAGTGAGCAGGGGGGAGAATAAGAGCAAACAGAGAAGTTTGACATCTGAGTCATATTAATGGCGCAGTTCCTCTGTTTTAGGGCCGAGATGTTTTTTCCCCTGTCTTTACTTTACAGTGAATCTGACCATTAAACCTCTTTGCTATAACATAAGAACACAAGGGCGCATTCCATTCCATTCCATTTTACTTAATACATTTAAATATATATATGTGTATGTATATATATATATATATATATATATATATATATATATATATATATATATATGCATATGTACGTATATCTATGCATATGTAAAAACTAAATCCAAATAAAGTGAAAATCCAAGTAAAGTGATATGTGGCGTGCAAAAATAGTGCATAAATGTCAATTACGGGGGGGGTCTGAATCACTTGAGGGAGGCGTTATAGAGCTTGATGACCACAGGTAGGAATGATTTCGTGTGGCGCTCTGTGGTGCATCTTAGTAGGAGTAGTCTTCTGCTGAAGGAGCTTGTCTGCTGGACCAGTGTGTCGTGGAGAGGATGTGAGTCATTGTCAAATCATGATCATGACATCATGACAGAAAGAATATTCAAGTGGGAATGCTTATGCATTCCCACTTATTGTT